GAGAACAATTCACTACGGTCTTTCATAAGATAGATCCATGTCATCCTTGAAAAGTCATCAACAAAGATTACAAAATACTTAAACCCATTGTATGACACCACTTTAAYWRRACCCCATACATCAGAATGAACTAAAGCAAAAGGACTTGAGACACGACTATCAACTCTTGGACTAAATGAGACTCTATGATGTTTACCCAATTGACATGACTCACAATCTAACGATGAGAGATGACTCAATATCTTCTTAAAAGGCAATTAAAATTATAAAATCATTTTCTTTTTGCGTAAGGATTAAGAATCTAAGACCCCAACTTGGACTTGTTTGGGCTTGCTTTGAGGAGCTTGGCCGGGGGTCTAGGGGGGAGCCCCAAGCCCATCCGTTAGGTTTAAAAAAATGAACAACCCAGCCATTAGGTTCAAAAAAGAACAATAAGTGCAAAAAATAGAAGAGGTGCATGCCTGGGCTTAAATGCAAGGCTCACTAGGCACATGCCCAGGCACACCATGCAAACACCTTTTGAAAGTGTTGTGCCTGGGACCTAGGTGAGGCACATAAAATGCGCCTTGTCTGAGTGCTTAGGTGCACCTTTTAAATCATTGCCTTGAATGACAACATACAAGTGCGGGAGATATTCCCGATGTACAACTGCAATTGCTGTGAGATTGTGAGGAGCGCTATGTGAGGTGCAAATTTGGATTTATTCATAACTGTCTTTTACTCTGCATCTTAATTTGGTCTAATTTATAAGTGATTTTGTATGGACAATTAGGGAATCAACAGGGCTAGAGTTGAACAAATGGAAGCTCGCTTGAAGGATGATATACTGGTAGAAGCTGCAAGGTACTTTTTTTTAACATCCCCTTAATCTTAATGACCATAATGGTTGTTAGGACCTGTTTGTAACATAGGTTGCTCTTTCTGTGTATAATATTGTATTTTTGTTGCATTTGACTTAGCAGATATGGAAATAAGATCCTTGTAACTGATGAACTACCAGATGGTCAGATGGTGGACCAATGGGAATTGGTGACACATGATTCTGTGAAGACTCCTCTAGAGGTGATTGTAGCTTTTTCTTTTTTCTTTTCCTTTTACTTTGGCATCTATTGTAGCTTTCTTATATACAAATCAAAGTATCTGAGCTCCCATTCCACATTTCTTTGTATTTATTTATCTTAGATGTTGCTTTTGATTAGGTGTATGAGGAACTACAAATGGAGGGATACCTTGTTGACTATGAACGTGTTCCTATAACTGACGAAAAATCGCCCAAGGAGCAGGATTTTGATATTCTAGTGAGTCATTATTATCAGCACTTGGTTTAGATCTTAGCATTCATCACAAATATGCCACAAGAATGCATCAGCTAATAACTCACTTTGTTTGCCAAATATATCAACATGGAAATCATGAGGAATCCCCATGTGCGCTTAGTTTACTTTTCCAAATTATGTTTGAAGTTTGAACTTTCAACCAGTTTTCTTTGCTCTTGGTATATCTTTATGTATGTCACAAATACTCCAGCTTAGATCTTCAGAGGTAGACAAATATGGCTATGAAAAATTATATGTTGTATATCCAAGACTTTATATGTTAGGCTCTAAGGATGTAACATGCATTGTGTTCTTTGAAGTAAGAAATGGACTGGTCTTTGGTGTCCCACATTTGGAAGGTTACTTTTGGATAGGAAAATGGAGGAATGGCTTATCTTTTTTCAAAGTAGAGCAATGCAAAATTTCATGTGCCCCACATGGAAAATCAACATATTTATGAGAACATCAAGAAGAAAGAAAAGAAAATTCAGAAAATATAGGTGCTGAGCCCCAATTTTGTCTAGGAATGTGTTAATGATGACGATAAAGATGAAGAATGTGTTGATTGGGTAGAATTTTAGGCTCTTCCTTGCTTATCGATTCAGGTTTTGAAGTCTTTGAGGGTTCAAGGTAGTATAAACCAACATGTTGTTGATTGGACCCTAACAACATGAAAATAATGAAAAGAAACTAGTATATAAACCTTCAAACTAAGTTAAGCAAGGCAGTGATTTAAGAGGCGTGCCTAGGTGCACAGGTAAGGTGCATTTTAAGGTATGTGCCTAACCTAGACCAGGTGCTAAGGCTGATTCCATAGGTGGAATTTGTCCTTCCTCCTGCTCTCTTCACTATGAACTAGAGAATAGGCCTGAGATGGAGTAACAGTCTCTTGTAAGTAACTGTTGTCTCACAATATCATAATTTGAATTCAGACTAGCAAGAAATTCAAATACCCTATTTGTCTCCACCAACTTCCTAGTTCCTATTTGTTGTTGCATTCTTTTGGCTTTCCCACTCAATCGTCTCCAAGTGATCGATTTCATGCCATAAAGACCTCAATGTAGAGAAGTATAGGTTTCTTCCCCTGTTTAAGATTGTTTACTTCACTCTGCAACTCATAAGCCCTAGCAATGTTAAGAGGTTGAGAGTATGTGTCCATATTCGCTCATATTTCCTTAGCTATTTTTACCCACAAATAATTTTTGCTAATATGAGGTTGCATGGAATTACATAACCAAGTCTTGACGAAATAGTTTTCATGAACCCATTTGGCATGAATTGGGTCCTTCTTGGCTGGTTTTTTTGTATCTCCAGTCACATACCCTAGCTTTACTCTACCTAGAATGGCATCATGGTTGATTGTTCTAGTTGTAAATCTAGGGTTTTTAGAAGAAGAGAAGAGAAGAAAGGAAGAATGTGTTGAAGAGGTTTGTGTGTTCTACAGTTCACACCCTCAAAGATTCTCTTTATATTTCGAAAGAAAAAATTACAAGAAAGCCATACTTGGGTGCCCAAATACAAAAAGATGAGGAAAAGACTAAAACACCCTTGCCAAAACATTCTCAACACTCCCCGTTGAGCACATATGTCAATCATGCCCAGTTCAGCTAGTTGGTTAAAATCGAGGACAAGGTTATCCCCATCCCCATCCCTGCCAGCGAGGACAAGGTTATCCCCATCCTCATCCCCACGGGGAACTCTACTCCCCGTGATTAGGGGTGAGCATTCAGTTTATTCGGTTAAAAATCAAAATGAATAAATTGAAATTTTCAAAACCGAACTAAAAAATTTAAAACAAAACCGAAACCGAATTATAGAAAAACCAAAATAACTGAAACCGAAATTTTCGGTTTGGTTTTCGGTTATTTCAGTTAAAACCGAATTTTAATAATATATACTTTATTATATATATTATAACAAATAATATATATATTATACATTATAAAACATATATTATGAAATCAAATTTTATTATATTATACATTGATATATAAATATATTATATATTATATGTTACACATTATATACTTTATTTTACATATTATGTATTATATATTACATATAATAATAGAAAGTTTGGTTAATTCGGTTAACCGAATTTCTAATTCTAAAAACCGAAACCGAAAATCGAATTAGTCAAAAATCGAATGAACTGAACTGATTTAACCAAAAACCGAACCAAACAAACCGAAACTGAAATTTTTGGTTCAATTTTTAGGTTTTCATCGAATAGTGCTCACCCCTACTCGTGATTTTTTATAATGTCAACCATTTTGTTTTTGTTTTTTATTTTATTTAAAAGATTAAAAATAAAATATTTAAAATTTACAGTCTTATTAAAAAAGATTAAAATATATTCAAACATATTCAACCATATTTTTAAACTATTAACTTACATACATACATATATAGACATAGGCATGCATATATACATATATTAGCGGGAATCCCCACAAGACAAGGATCGGGGCCCCCATGGGGTGGGTAGTGCTCTCGTTTCCATCCCCCCCCCCGCTAATGGGGATGAAAATTTCCTCATTCGGAGCAGGTCACCGTGGGGATTGGGGATTGGGGAAATGGGGAAAATTGCCATCCTTAATCTCTCCACTAGCTATTTTTTTCTCTAATATGCTTTGTACGATCATGTTAAACATGATTGTGAGCAATATTTATGCATGCTTGATTGTCACAATATAGTCTCATTAGGGTATTTGCATGGATGCCCATCTCAGTTAATAAGGTCTTTAATCAGAGTAGTTCAAACACTCCATGAGCCATTGCCCTATACTCTGCCTTAGCACTAGAACGGGCAACTACAAATTGTTTCTTACTTCTCCATGAAACCACATTGCCTCCGACTAAGGAACAATAACCAGATGTGGATCCTTTTATTATCAATGGACCCTGCCCAGTCAACATCTGTGTAAGCCTTAATCTTTAGATGGCCATGATTGGAACACAACATCCCTTTACCAGGGCATCCTTTCAAATAGGCTAAAATGCTATTAACTGCTTGCATATGAGATGTCCTGGGTTCATGCATATATTGGCTAACTACTCCAACAACATAGGATATGTCAAGTCTAGTCAAAAAGAGATATAGGAGATGGTCCACCAATCTCTGATATATCCCTCTGTCTAGAAGAACTTTTCCTCCAGTAGCACTCAATTTGTGGTTGGAATCAATTGGAGTTTTTACAGGATTACACTCTAATTTCCCAACTTCATGAAGCAAGTCAAGGACATACTTTCTTTGTGATAGAAAAATTCCCTTCTTGGATCTTGCAACTTCAATGCCAAGATCCTTAATCACAAATTTGGAAGCAAGGAAGGACTTTAATTGAGAGATACCCGTGATATTGTCACATGTCACAGCAATGTCATTAACATATACCATCAACATTGTTACTCTACCATCAACTCTTATGAAAAAGGTGTGGTCTGCTTGAGATTAAGAAAACCCAATCTTTAAGATAGTTTCTGAACTTGTCAAACCAGGCTCTAAGGGACTACTTGAGCACATACAAGGACTTCTTCAAGCAGCAAACTTTTCCTTCATTGTTAGGAAAGCTTACCCCAAGTGGTAAGTCCATATACACTTCTTGTAAGTCCCCATTAAGGAAGGCATTCTTTATATCCATTTGATATGAAGACCAGGAGTAATGGGCAACAAGAGACATGATTACACGAATAAAGTCATTTTAGCAATTTGAGCAAGGTTTTCAAATAATCAATGACGTAAGTTTGAGTATATCCTTTGGCTATAAGCGAAGTTTTGTACCTCTCAATTGAGCCATTTGCTTTGTACTTAATAGCATGAACCCAATTACACCCAATAGGAATCTTATCCTTAAGGCAAGGAACAATCTCTAAAGTCCGGTTCTTCTATAGGGCCTCCATCTCTTGGTTCATAGCTTCCTTTCAGTGAGGGGACTGCATTACCTTTGTAACATTTTGAGGGATGGAAATAGAAGAGATGACATCAATATAGGCACAATAGGAAGGTGAGAGAGCATCATAAGACACATAGTAATAGAATACTTGTTGTATGTTCTCTTCCCTTTCCGGATAGCAATAGGGAGATCAAGGTTAGGATCAATAGCAAAATTATCAAGAGGTTCAAGATTACCCAAACCTGGAAGATCATATTATGATGGGCATTTTGCTTCAAGAACCACCCTCTTATTGTGCCAAATGAAAAACTGTTGCCATGATCGAGGCCAATACAGAGGAGGGGGGGAGGGGGGAAGGAATACCATTGTTACAAGGAAGCGAGGAAGGAGATGGAGGAAAAGGAACAAGGACAAGAAAGCAAGGGAGTTTGATCTTCACTTGCATTCTCCCCTTGAAGAGAAGAACGGGATGACTGGAGAAAAGAGGTCTCTAGAAAGGTAACATCCTTGGAAACATATCTCTTGCTAGAGAGAGCATCAAAGCATCTATAGCCTTTCTAGACTGGAGAATAACTGAGGAATACACATTTAATTGATTTAGGATTAAACTTATGCTAGGAAGGACTCATATCATGATCAAATCAAACACAACCAAAGATCCTGTAGGGGTAGATTAAAGGAGGGTTCATTAGGAAAGAGAAGTTGGTGAGGAGACCGAAGGTTAAGGACCCATGATGGAAGTTTATTAATGAGATACACAGTTATCTCAATAGAATCACCCCAGAAATAGATGGGAACATGAGTTTGAAACAACAAACCTCAAGCAACTTCAACCACATGCCTATTCTTCCTTTCAACCACCCCATTTTGTTGTTGAGTATGACTACATGAACTTTGGTGAATAATGCCCCAATCTTCACGAAACCCACACAAATGGTGTTCAAAGTATTCCTTGGCATTGTTAGATCCTATTATCTTAACTCTTTTCTCAAATTGTGTCTCTACCATGTTCAGAAAGTTTTGAACAATCATAGGAACCTCATCCTGACTTTTCATCAAGTAGAGCCATGTATACCAGCTGTAGTCATC